GAGAATATTTAAATGTTTATTTGCAATAAATATTAAAAACAAAAGAATGGAAAATAAATCCAAATTATTGTACAAATTTTGTAAAAAAAAGTATTCGATTTATTTAATCAAATTTTCTTTGAATCAAGAAAAACAAGAAAAAATAATAATTTTTTAAAAAGTTAGAAAAAAACCCAAAATTTATTAAACAAACCAATAAAGAATTGTTCGAATGAACAAAATATTTTTTGAAACTTTATTAAACAAAATTAACTGAATTTTTGTGGAATTAAGAAACATTTTAATTGAGGCAACCAAATTATTTTCCTTTCTCATTTAAATTTTCATTGGCGAAGCAAAAAAGCCTTGAAAATATTTCCTATTCAAAATAAAATTTTTGAAATGGGAGAAATTAAATTAAATAAAAATCCCTCTCCACCTGGAAATGTTATTTTCTTCACCTTAAGTTTGGAAAAAGCCAGAAAATAGGGAAAAAAAATTATGAAAAAACAAAAAGTATTATTAAAGAAAAGTATTAACAAAAACTACAAAAACCAAAAAGTATAAAATACAAAAAGTATAAAATATCGAAAGTGTAAAATACAAAAAGTAAAAAATACAAAAATTATAAAATAAGAAAAGCATAAAATACAAAAAGTATAAAAAAACAATGAGTATGAACAACAGGAAATATAAAAAAGTAAAAAAATATAAAAAACACAAAAAAAAATTTTTAAAAATACAATCTTAAACATAAAATTTTAAAAAGAGACAAATACCAAAAAAATTATTCAATTTTCCAACAAAAAAATTTCGCTGATCCAACTAAACACTTTCTTCCCTGATTCTCTTCCAGTAACAAAGAAACAACATTCAAAATGAAGCCCTTCATCCAATTTCTATTTTTCATACAATAAACAAAACCTTAAAAATATAATCAAAAAAACAATTTTCTGAATTTTATCATCTCGAAACCTATCGACGAATTCATTTTATTTATTTATTTTTCAAGGGAGAGAGAGAGTGTGAGAGAAATAGGGAAAATCTTCTAATCTTTAAATCCAGTAAGACTGGCGAATATTTGCGATAGTGATTTAGCATTGCTGAATTGTATACGGGATCGACGCCAATTTTATGAGATTTTTGGCTTGGCTTTCGATCCCTTTCAAATGTAAAAGCTTATATATACATAGAGTTGATTTTACTCGACGCGACAACGTCCACAACTTTCCAATGAAATTTCCGCGGGTGCTTTATCGATCTTATGCGTGTTGAGAATATCTATGTGCAACAGGCTCGACTCTTGTCCTTCACAATTCGATACTATTTAAGCATTCATGTCTCTTTTCAGACTAAAAATAAAGAAACGAAAAGAAAATCTGTCTCAATAATTGCAAATTTTTTTGATAAAATAATACTTAATTACCAAATCAAAATTTTGTCATTTAACTAATTTCTATTCTATTTTATAGTAAAAAATATTTCTTAGTAATAATTAGCAAATATTTACTAACAATTAACAATTATTTACTAATAATTAACAAATACTTACTAATAATTAGCAATTTTCTAATAATTAGTTATTTTTCTCTAATTTTTAAAACAAAAAATCAGCCACGATTTTACTAATTGTAAGAATTAGATATTTTTAACTAATTCAGATTTAAACAGTTGTATTTAGATAGTTTATTTTGTTTATTAACATTTACTCTTAAAAATTTTTCTCATTCTATTTTGTGTTTTAAAAATAAATTTAATTTTTAGTTTGAACTTTGACTAAAAAAACTAATTGTAAGTCTGTAAAACTAAATAATGTCTGAAAAATGTAGCAGATAATATTGATTTGAGGATAATTTTAACTACAAACTAAATATTCATTTAACATTTAGTGCCATTTGATTTCTAAAAAAAAGTGATTTAAAATAAGAAACTGCATTAAAAATTTGAGAACTAATTTTCTGAAATTAGTTACAATCTGCTATTACTAAATTGATAAACAAATTTTCATTATTAATGAAAATAATTACGACTCTCTAAATCTGAATTAGTCAAAAAATAATTTATTGTTCGTAAAATTTTTAATTGATTTAATGTTAGCATTAACTAATTATCAGTAAAAAATATTTTTTAGTAAGAATAACTAATTAAGTAAATAAATAACTGTAAAAATAGTCAAATTTAACTAATGAAGTTATAGTTACGAAAAATTTTAGTCATTTTGACATAACCTAAAAGTGAAATTATTTCTTATAAAAATAATTGAATTCCTTAAAGAAAATTTTATTATTTATAAAAATAATTAGATTCCTGAGAAATTTTTATTATTTATGAAAATAATTAAATGTTTGCATACAATTTTATTAAAATTTTTTTTAAATAATTGAATTCTTTTTGGAAAATTTTATTAAAATAGAAGATATTGAAAATAATCGAAACTAGAAAATTTTTTGAATATAATTGAAATTAGGACAAGAATTTTTTTGACATTTATGAAAATAATTGAACTTAGGAAAAGAATTTTGTTATTTATAAAGATAATTGGGATATTTACGGGAATTTTTTTTTTCAAATTTTGAACATAGTTGAATTTTATAAGAATTTAATTTTTTTTTTTTTTTGAAAATAATTGAATTTCTGCAATTATTTGTAATTTCTCAAAAATTAAATTTTTTAGTGTTTTCAACAAAAATTTAAATTAGAAAATTTTTAAATTCTATTATTTTTAAAATTGTTAATTTTATTTTGAAAAGGTAATAAGAAGTTAGCCGCGCGCTTTAGCGCGAATTGTTGCTAGTTATGATAAAAAATAATAACAATAGTAATTAATAACTTTTACTAAAATTTCCAAATTGTCAAAATGAGTAATTATTCAAATTAATTTTAAAAAAATATTTAAGTTTTAAGCTAATTTATAAATATACTCTCAAAATTTGAATTAGTAAAAATGTTTACTAATTAAAATTAATGACTGACTTTATACTTTTAAATTTGTAAATTTTTACTAATAAATTAGTAGAAATTATTATTTATTAGCAAAATTTACAAATTCAAAAGCAAAGAGTCAGTCACTAATTCAAAGTAATATACATTTTTTCTAATCTCTACTAATTAATCAGTTATTTTAAATAATTAGTAACTTTTACTAATAAAGAATAATTTCTACTAATTTATTACTAAAATTTACTAATTAAAAAGCAAAAAAGTCAATCACTGATGCAAATTAGCAAACATTTTTACTAATTCAAAGCAGTAAACATTTTTTCTAATTTCTACTAATAAATTAGCCAATTTTAAATAATTAGTAACTTTTACTAATAAAGAATAATTTCTACCAATTTATTACTAAAATTTAATAATTAAAAAGCAAAAAGTCAGTCACTAATTCAAAGCAGTAAACATTTTTTCTAATTAAAATTTAAAGAGTATTTATCAATATAAAATAATAAATTATTTTCATAAATTGGAAAATTGATCGAAGACCTGTAGGAAAATTCAAGTGTGGACAAATTGGACACTATTGCTGCGCGCTCAATTTCTATGGCATTGAACTATAGCTTTCTGGACGCGAGGGACAACCATATACGTGTATTCATACATATATATGTACACATCCTATGTATGTTTATGTATATTATGGGGGATGGAAAATGATGGGGGTTATATACCACGAAAGAGAGGGGGGGGTGGATCGGAGACGAGGGGAACTGACGCTCAACTCAAGGGGTTGGCAAGCATTGCGACGCTCAAAATCCGCGAGCTTTTTCTTTCGCGCCTTTCAACGCGAGACGTCAGTTTGTCAAAAACAACAGCGAGAATAAAGTATACACTTTAAAATTGTTTTTTGTCAAAAAGAAAAATACTGTCGCGCATTATATTTGACAAAAAAAGAAAAGTGAAAAATACAATTTTCCACCTGTGCGTCGCTTTCAATATATATTTTGCTCCATGACAACCAGAGGAGAAGAGTTCAAGAGACAAAGGACGCACACTCTTGATTTAAAATTGTGATTTATCCATTGGCGGTACAGTGCTTTTAACACATTAAAGAAATAGTTTAAATTCTTTGCAAATTTATTTATAATTAAAAGTGAGTTTTTCAAAAAATTAATTTAAAAATTAAAAAAAAAACAATTTTAAGAAGCTTTTTTAAAAACTATTTTCGAGAGTATTTTTTAAAAAATATGCTAATGAATTTTTTTCGCGAAATCTCGACAAAAAAATGTTTTTTTTGAAACAGCGATAAGTTTCTCTGGAATAGCAAAAGTTTTAACTAAGACAGGTAAACATGTCGCTAATGAAATTTAAATCTGCTCCAAGTGAAGTTTTTTTGTGTTTCTTTTAAAATGTTTTTAGTTTATAATTATTTAATAAATTGTGACTTTATTTACAAGAAAATTACAAAATTAAATGTTTCTATAAAGTTTCGAACGTTCAAATGAAGGGCAATATTTTTGTTACTTCGTATAATTAGTATTTTTCTATAAAAAATTAATTTCTACTCTCTATATTTAAATTAGTAAAAATGTTTACTACTTTATATTAGTGACTGATTTTTTATTTTTGAAATAGTACATTTTACTAATAAATTAGTAGAAATTACTATTTAGTAGAAAAATTTCCTAATTCAAAAGCAAAAAGTGAATTAGTAAATTTTATTAATAAATAAGTAGAAATTACTATTTATCAGTCAAATTTACTAATTCAAAAGCAAAAATTCAGTCACTATTTAAAATTAGTAAGCATTTTTAATTTTTTATTAATTCAAATTTAAAGAGTACGTAATTAAATAATTAATTTACATTATTTTTCAATTATTTTAGTATATAATAATTTTTAAAAATATTTAAATCGAATTGAATTGATTTGAACGTTCAAAATTTTAGGGAAATAAAATGAACAGAATTATAATAATTCAGTCAGTAATATTATAATTCAGTTAATAAATATTTTTCAAAAAAAATAATAAATACCATAAAATAAAGTCTAAAATTAAAAAATCCAAAAAAAGAAAGAAAGCAAACTAACCAATAATCGACTGGAATTATTAAAAGGATAAATCGAAAAATATTATAATGACTCGCCTACAATTGAATAACGTGTGAGTACATTCGATTCTCAAGGAAGCTTAAACTTCGACCGTGTGACTCCAATTATGAGAGAAAGGATACAGAAGAAAGATCAAATACTCATCGTGAAGCTGTAAGGCGATTATTCTCTCGCGAGTTCCCGGAAAGATCGCGTGTGCTTTTAAAAACAAAAATCAATCATTTTTTCACAATCCAATAGTCACAGTAAAAATAATTAATGAATTTGAAACGAAAGTGATTATCCAATGCAAAAATAACGAAGACATTTTCCTTCAAAAAAATTACAAAGAGAACAAAATTAATGCAAAAATTAACGAAAGTGAAAAAATCAACCAAGTGTTTAGGACGAAAAATATAAAAAAAAAGTTTCAAAGGGGAAAATTATTTAACACCGCAAAACGATACAAACAAAAATTACAATGCAGGTGAGAATTTTGTGTTCTAAATTTTTGCTTAGTAAAATAAAAATAACAATAAAACTAAAAAATGAGGGTAATTTTTCAATTTAATAATTAAATTCTTAAAAATTTAATTATTAATTATAATTATTTCCCTTCCTATCCTAATTAATGCTCTCATTTATTATTAATATTATTATTATTATTATTATTATTATAAATATTATTGCTATTATTATAAATAATAATAAACATAGCATGATAATATTATTACACTGGAAAAAATATTTATTTGATTCAAATAACCGATTAATTGACTATTATCAATTAAATATTTAATTGAATCAAATAATATTTATTGGAGTCAATTAAATGGTGCAATTCATATTTACTTTAAATACTGAAATTAATGGTTCAAATATCATTTAATTGACTCCAATAAATATTATTTGATTCAAGTAAATATTTAATTGATAATAGTTAATTAATCGGTTATTAAAATCAAATACATTTTTTTCAGTGTATTTATAATAATAATAAATTTATTTTAAATTATAGTTAAGGATAAATGTCGTAATAAATTTATAACTAATGCTAAATGTAACAAAAAGTTATAAATATTCTAAAATACATACAAAAATTTAAATCGAAAATTATTTTTTAATTTGTTCATAAATTTTCTATGAATATTAATAATTTTCTTATTGTCGTAATTTTTATCTATTTTTCTTAAGAAACTGTTAATAGCCAATCAGATGCTAAATTTATATGTAAATTTTAAGTAATTATTTTAATTATAGTAAATTAATTGAAGTCAATAAATTTAATTGGTTAATTAAATTAAATAATTATTTTTAAATAATAATTATTCTTCTCTGTAAATTTAAATTATTAAAAATGTTTACTAAAAAATGTTAAATTAGTGTCTGACTTTTTGATATTGAATTAGTAAATTTTACTTTTAAATTAGTAAAAATTACTAATTACTAGTAAAATTTACTAATTTAAAAGCAAAAAAAAATTTTAATTACTAGAAATTACTATTTATTACTAAAAATTACTAATTTAAAAGCAAAACGTCAATCGCTAATTCAAATTAGTAAACATTTCTATTTACTAAAATTAAGGGAGGCTAATTTGTTGAATTTATTTTTACTAATTGACTGAATTAATTTATTTAATTAGATAACTAATTTAAATAATTAATTAATTTAATCAATAATAAGTTGATTAATTAAACATAATTAAACAAATTAAAGAATAATTTCTTTTATAAATTATAAATTTTTATTGTATTTCATGAATTTTGAATAATTTATTAATTTAAGTTGTGAATTAATTAAATTTATTAATATTTAATTACTTTCTGTTGATGTTAAACAAAATTCAAATTCAACAATTATATTATTACATATCTACACCTGCAGGGCAATACTATTTCGTGCTTTCAATTTAATTTAAGTGAACTATTTTCCAAGAAGCAATTGCCCCAATTTGCCCCTCTTTATATAGAACCTTAACGAGGGCCTTTTTAGCAATTACTTTTGGTTCATTTCGAAAAAAATTCTATTTCAATTAAAGCAAAATAGAAAAATGTCTAGACAATAAGAAAAATATATAAAACTGAAAATAATAAATAAACGAAAAATAGTAAAGAAAATAAAATAATAAATGAAAAAAATATTAAATAAAAAAATAGAGAAAAAATAAACTAAAAAGTAATAGAAAAATCATTGTGAACCATTTTACCCCATGAGAATAATAAGAGAAAAATACCTGTTACCAAGCGATGTAGTAACAGTCAAAAGGGAACGACGTTCATTAATTTTTTATAAATTGCTAATTAAACACTGAAATGGAGAGCAAATTTTCTCCATAGTAACAGTGAACTTTACATATACATAGGAAACTGTATTTACTCACTTTCGCTGATTGGCAAGGAGCCAGTCAAAGATCATCACGTTAACGTCAGTATTGATTTGAAATTGAGATCTTTATTTACCTGGGTATAAACTGCACGCGAAGAATGGCACTGGCGTTCGTTGATCGAAAGTTCAACAGTCGAGATATCCACAGACACAAATACACTTATTTCTGTAACAAAAATAAAACACACCTTTAATAAATAATTCACCAATAATTTTATCGATTTTCAAAAAAAAAAAAATTATATATTTCACTAAAATAATAAATTGCAGTTCATTACGTGAGTTTTTATTACACAAAATATTATTACCCGAGTATAAAATCAAAATCTAAACAAAATTCTTTAAATAAAAAATGTAAATCAAATTTGAAAAATCTTTTCAATTTCTAAAAAATCGTATTTTTAAGTTAAAAAATTAATTAAAAATCAATTCACCATTATCATTTATATTTAGACACGTTTTCGTTTTTGTTTTAGCCTCCTCATTTTAATCAACCTTCCACAATTTTAGATGAACTTTCCTCCTGTGGTATGTGATTGATAAAAAATAAAACTAATGAAAAATTTTACTAATGTAAAATTAACGAAAAATAAAAAGAAACTAATTTGAATAAATAACTTACTAATGTATTTAATAAATAAGTAAATAATTAATAAATAAATGATAAATAACAAATAGAAATAGAAATTTGATGTACTGGAAATATTTACTATTATCGTGACATACGAAACTGATAAAGCTTCTTTAATTCAAATGCGTCTAGTTTTCTTTACCTTGAGACAGTAAAGCGAGGCAAAAAGGAGGTCATTACCTCCGGAGGTTATACCCTCATAAAGTGGCTAAAAGAAAAGGCCACTGTCAATATCATTTCAAATAAATTCAGACTCTTCTATATACTGTTTATCGTATCTTCCATCTATTTCCCTCGGAAAAAATTTTATAATTATATTTTCGACAAATATCCATTGTCTGTATAATTTAAAATTAAAATACAAATTTCGAATTTCTAAGTTCAATAAAATTGCCAATCTAATTACAAAATTGACAAAATTTCCTTATTTCCTAAACAATTAGTTAATAATAATTAGTTAATAATTTCTATTAATAGTATTTAAATAACCAAACAAATAAGTTAAAATTAATCAAACTCCAAAAAATTTCTACATATATAAAATTCAACTAACGTAGTTTATTAAAGCGAATCTCAATGTCAAACTAAATGGATAAATTGTTGTAAACAATACTTGTTGACTACAATTACACTAAATATGTTAAATTCACCGGAAAGAAGATATTTATAACAGTTGTTATTGACACAAATAACTTTTATCCGGTTAATTGCGTCCTAAAAATAAACGAAAAATTTTTATGCTCCAAAATCTGACAGAAAAAACTTTATTCTTTTTCTTCTATTTCAGAATAAAATATTTTTAAAAACATGATTAATATAAACATATATTTTAACCCTCATTATTTATTATTTATATAATAACTCTCACTATATTTTAATTTTTCTAAAATAAAAAAAATTTCCTGTTTTACCTTAAAGCAGAAAAAACAAAATATTCTAATTTTTTTTTTACTTGAAATATTTTCAATTTTAAAATTAATGTTTTGAAAATCATCGAATTGTCGCAAAGGATTTTATCGAAAAATGTAATAATAATTTAATTCCTTCAAAGAATTTTATTCTTTAGGAAAATAATTTAATTCTCGCAAAGAATTTTGATAAAATTTTCGAAAATTCTAATTAAATTCTTTTTGAAGAATTTCTTTGAATTTTTTTTAATAATTTTTATTAAAAATTTTGAAAATAATTGAATTTTATGAATAATTTCTTTCAAGTTTTTTAAATAATCGTTTCTGTAAATAATTTAAATTAAACATTTAATTATTAAATTTTATTAAAATTTTAGAAAATTTTTTAAAATAATTGAATTCTTTTGAAATATTTTTTAACGAATTAAGAAAACATTGAATATTCTTTCGTGGAATTTTTTTGAAAAAAATTGAATTTTTGCGAAGAATTTTACTATTTATGTGAATATAATTGAATCGTTTGGAAGGATTTATTAAAAATTAAAAAAAATTGAATTAATAATTCAATTCCTTTGAAGAATTTTATCAACACTTTTGACAATAATTGAATTCCTTTGAATGATTTTATCAAAATTTTTAAAAATAATTGAATTCGATAATGAAATTTTAATAAAAATGTATTATAAATAATAATTAAATTCCTTTGAAAGATTTTTTTTTTAAAATAATTGAATTTTAGCAAAGAATTTTACTATTTATACAAATATAATTAAATTTTTTGAAAGAATTTATTAAAATTTTAGAAAAGAATTGAATTTTTTTGAGAAATAATTATTAAAAATTTACAAAAAATTGAATTATTTTACGAAATTTTATTAATGTTTCTAAGAATTTATTAAAATATTATAAAATAATTGAATTCTTTTGAAAAAGTTTATAACAAATTAAGAAAAAAATTGAATTTTTTTTTGAAAATAATTTAATTTTTATAAGGCAGTTTACTATTGTTATAAATATAATTTTACTATTATAATTGAATTCTATTAAAATTTTTTATAACGAATTAATAAAAAAATTGAATTCCTTCGTGAGATTTCTTTGAAAATACTTGAATTTTTACAAAGATTTTACTATTTAAAGAAATAATTGAATTGTTTCGAAGGATTTATTAAAAATTTAGAAAATAATTGAATTTTTTCGAGAAATATTATTAAATTTTGTTTAAAAATAGTTGAATTTTTGCAAAAAAATGTACTATTTATAAAAATAATTGAATTCTTACGAAGAATTTTATTAAAATTTCAGAAATTAATAAACAAGAATAATTAATTAGTAAATAAGTTAATGATTGAATTTATTTTAAGTTTGAATCTGAAATTATTTAAAAATTCAAATTTAAAAATAAAAAATTTTGTATTTCGCATAATAATAATAAAATAAATATTACACGTTCCGCGCGTAAAATTTGCTAATTTTATTTATTAAATTTAAAAAACGAACAAAATAATCTGACTTTGCAAAAGGAAATTAGATAATAACTCATAAAGGGATTTTCCTTAA